GATCAAAATGAAAAAAGTCAATAAACTATTATTTTCTGTTATAAAGCAAATAAAGATATTTAATAAATATAATATTATATATACATTACAGTGTTGTAAACATGTTTATTTTTCTTACATTTGCTAATTTTGATTAAAACATTTATTATAATAAATTGTATTACAATGAAAACTATGAGTTATTCAGTTGCAGTTTCTACAGTTTCCAGGACATTTTACCGTTACATCTGTAAATAAAAAGTATTGTATGTTGATTATTTTAATCACATTGTTTGTAATCGCATTGTCTTATATCTTGATTATATATAAGATTTTTCATCATTTTATATATTTTTTGGTGTAAATATTATTAAATATAACTGCTAAATTAATATTTGCTATTATATTATTTATTAATGCTGGACTCGAGAATATTTAGAAAAATGATTTTCCATTCATCTTGTGCGTAAAAAAGAAAATTTTTTTTGTAATTTTAATTTGCATTGTGATAACCATTAATTTAATTGCTTCAAAAATATAATTAATATAATTATATTCAAAGATTTTAACAATAATAATAATAAAGGATTAAAAAAATTGACAAAAAGAATTTCTTTGTCTTATTGGAAAATATCAAAACAACCAGTTTTAAACCAAAAAAGTCTTTGAGATCATTGTTACACTAATAGAAAGCTTGTTTATGTTATTATCATGCCTGTGTCTTTCATGTAAATAATAAATAATTTAAATATAATAAAATTTTAATGAAGTATCTTACTTTTTCCACAACATTGCGCGCATTTTAGTTGTGATCGATTCATGTAAGTAATTTTGTCTGTGCCACAAACAGGATCGTAAACCAATATTATCTGTCAAAGAAATGACGTTATAGATTTAACATTAAACTTATTTTTCAGAAAAAGCTGGGCGGGGTGAATCATCCATATTCTCTCCATTAGATTGTCTGTAAACTATTGGACTATCCACTTGAACTATTTCCATTGCGTTATCCAAATTCTATAATATTTATCGAATTAAATTTCCAAATATTAGATTTCTGATTTTTTTTCGAAAATATTACGGAAATATTACTTTCAAAAATACAAATTACTTATATAAAGCACTTTACACGATATTGATTTCAGAATATTAAAATAAATATTAAAATATAAACAGAATGTATGTAAATTTTTTATGATAATATTTATTCATTATAATATTTATATATACAGTATTATTCATATGGAACATATAAAATAAGAATATTATTGTTATATATTAATTATTAAGAACTCAAACAATCTATAAATATTATGATATATCTGCATCATAGTTCATTGTGCTTAGCATAGAACATGATTATATTTTTTGACATTACAACATATTCAAATGTCTTGAATAGTTTAAATATATATCCATTTATTTCTTACAAGAGATCGCATGAAAGAATATTCACTTACTTGTTGAATCGCGCTGATAAGAAACGGCGATGCAGCAACTAATAAGAATTACACAATACAATGAAGATATTAAAATCAATTAATTAATGCACGAACAATTTGCATTATACATGAAATATTTGAAATAATATTTTGTATTTTCTTACTTAACAACAAGTAAAATAACATTTTGTTAAAGTTTGCTTGATCAAAAACCGTCAATTATCGATGTTATATACTATTTTATATGTCTAAGGTAATCTATTAACAGAAATTCTACTGTTGACAGTATTATGTTGCGCTTCCTTTTATGGAACTAGTTGCCAATTGATGGTTATATTCGTAATGCATGTAAATGCATGATAAATAAAAAAAGTGCTCAATATATTTATTGCATACTAATTTTCAAACTTTATGTAACAATGAAAGACCTTGAAGTATTAAAAGGAATAATATATATATATAGAATAATATTAATATTTTAAAATTTTAAAAACATTTACGCGATGTTGATAATTAGCGGTTTTTTAACAGATAAAACTTTATAACAGATAAACATAATTACAGACGTTTCGACATTAATATTATGTCCTCTTCAAAGTGCAAAAAATAGTTCTCCAGAAATTAAACATTGAATTCATTTGATAAGTGTTGTCACAAGTGTAAAATATATCATTAAGCTAATTTTCGTCAAGACTGTAATCTTCACCTGTTGTATTTCGTCAGATACTCAACCTACTAAGAAAGTCACTATAATAACACATTATATTATATTATATTTTTGTGAATACATGAATCATTATTATCACATTAAACACTTAGTGCAGGTTCTCATTAGCAAATTTTCTTAAGTTTTTTTTATTGTTAAATTTGGAGCCTTTTTATTATACATTATTATAAAAAAATTATATTCAATCATTAAAAACATTTCTATTGAAATGTATTAGGTGTTGGAATTAATTCGTAGCGTTTTTTAATGAAAGAATGTTATTTATTTCACATGAGCATTAAAAAATACATTAATGAAAGTACTTCCTATCACTTGTAAAACGCTACGAATTAATTCCAACACCTAATATTTAAAGAATAGCGTCTTATTAATTACGACAAAGTTCTTTGTCCCGTATAGTCATAAAGATATTTCTTGTATCTTTGTTCAATGTCGTTGTTGAGACTCGAAAGGGGAAGACCACAAGTTTACAGAACATCGATGTATTAGGATGAGTATTTACAGGATCATAACATTTATAGTGCCATAACATATCTAGCTGCATTTAAATTGAATTTAATTTGTACGTGCTAATATAGCTAAAACTATTGTAGCAGAACTTCGATACGTATTATATATTACCATACTTGGACGTGACATTATCAAGACTGTGGATGTAAAACAAATATTCGTTGTTTCTTTCTACCATTTCTGTAAGCGAGTTGATTTACTTTGTTAATAGATTGCATTTTCTTTTTTAGTGCGAGGGAAGATGTAACGCAGCTTGAATGATTTTATATGCAGTCTATCGATTCGGATAAACTGCTCTGCCTACTGCATTTCGATAACACAATCGATCTTACAGTCCATTCGATAATTACAAAATCCAACGAAATTTAAGAAGTCAAAGTTTTGTTAATATTATATGTTTATAATTGTATAAACGTTGGCTACAAAATTTGAAACTGAAAGTATAATTGGCTCATGGTTCAGATAATATAAGCGGAGAGAGAAAGAATTATATAAAATTCACAAAAATTATTAGACATGGCATAAAGTTTCGCGCGATGATAAAAAATGTTCACTTATTATACATTATACACATATTGGTTGTTATTTAATCATTGAAGTTTTTTAGTCTTATTGTCGTACATTTTACTGTAGCACAGTTTTGTTTCACAGTATAAATGGGTCAATACATCAACTATGACATATTGACTGCTACGGAATCTTTAGTAGAACAGATATATACCGTTATGGAAAAAAACTATTAGTAAATGGTAAAACGGCCAATAGTTATTTGGCTAATAGTTAGTACTGTTTGTGAATAGTTACTGTTAGTAAATAGCAGGATTGGCAAATAACGCGTTATTTGTAATGCCGTTATCGTTACAAGTTACTCTTTTCGGTAACGGATGGATAATGGCGTTACATTTTCTTCTGAGTAATGTTCTTCTAAGTCACGTAGAAATGGTATAGTAACAATTACATTTTTAGGGTAATGGTAACGATTTCATTAATTATTTTTCATTAATTAAATATATATAAGAATCTATTCATAATTTTTGTATATTTGCAAAAATTATGATGATTATTATTGATGAATAGGTATTGTTGGTAAATAGTTACTATCAATCAATAAAAATTTAATTAGAAAAAACTAATTAGAGTAAACTATATAAAATTTCTTGGTATACATAGATATTGTTGTGTTTATTATTGGGCTAAAATATAAATTATAAAATATAAAAATATTTAAGATATAAAAGCAATATATGTATGAAGAAACGAGCAATAAGTAAAACATCGAAAAATTAAAGAAAAATGAAATTAATATTACATGATATAAAAACAGAATTAATATGCTCTTATCGTAACTCTTAATATATTATTCCCTGATAGCAAGCTGATGTCAAAATGACGTCATTTGACATCAAAATGACGACAAAATGACGTAATTTGCCTGGATTATTGCATTTTTGAAATATTTCTATCTGTTAACACTCTCAAACTATTTTTTAGCATATCGCTTTGTAGATATATTAATTCTTTTAATGTCATTAAATATTTCAATATCGACTTATTGCACGTATTTGTACTTTACTTGCAATATTACTCAAACTTTTGGAGTCACAATAGTAACTATTGGAATCTCAATAATAACTATTGGAACACCATCAATAGTAACTATTAAACCTAAAAAGTTTTTTTCCGTAAACACATAAGAAGACATTGAGATCTACAGCGTTAATGGAAAAATTGGGAAAATTGTGTATTTTTGGAGGAAAATAAAACAATATTAAAATTAATAATGAACCCAAAAAATATAATAATGAATACAATAATAGAATTCTTAAAATTCAATAATAACAAATTAATAAAAGATATTACAATTGCCAAACGAATGATAATTCAATAGTCTTAACATTGCGACATAAAAATTATCATATTAAAAAGTATACACTGTTAAAAAAAAAAGAAATTTGCTTTCGTTACATGTAATACAAATTTCAAACAAATTTCAAGCAAGTATATTAAAAATGTTTAATGTTGTCAATAAAAATGAAGTTATAAGTAATTAAATTTAATGTTTATTTATATTAAATTTCATGCAAATCTATATGAAATATTTAATAAAAAATATACTATATTTAATAAAAAATGTACCAAACTTCGTAAAATTTTATGAAAAGTACATTAAATTTGTACAAGTACACAAATATATTTTTCAGTTGCAAATACATTAAATTTAATTTAGTATCATAAAATTGAATTTGATTTGTGTAACTTAAAAGTACATTAAATTTCATGACATTTTTAACAGTGTACATTACAATGTATAAATATTTTTCTTACGTTTATCAATATTTCATCAAAATATTTATTATCGTAGATTATATTGTATAATGTAAATCGTTTGTTATCCAGTTCAGCTCTATGAAGGAATCCCTATGAACAGATTCCATTATGCAGTAACTTCACGTCTGTAAATATAAATTATTACGTGTTAAGCATTGTAAGGCGCTCCTAATTAATTACACTACTTTATACTGTAATTATGCATAGAAGTTTTTATTATTTTATATAGTTTATAGAACAAAAATTAAATGTATAAATATATATAGTAAATATTTACTTTTGTTATTGCAAAATTTATTAATGCTAGAACAATCAAGAATATTGAAAAGAATTATCTTCCTTCTATTTTATTAATATAAAAAGAAAAAATTTCCCTATATAGATTTAGATAAGAAAGTCTTTCCTTTTTTTCTTAATATATATACAAAAAAATATATAAATATAAATATGATATAAATATAATATAATAGTGTACATTAATATATTCAATTTACAATATAAATATATTTAATATAACTTCAAGAATGTAAGCACTAAACAATAATAATGATAAAGATAAATTAAAAGAACTGATAAAAACAATCTATCTACAATTGTAAGATAAGTATCAGTTAGTAGACATGGTCCAATTATTAAGCAAAATGACAAAAATTAAATATTAATTAATTATTTTGAACATTAATTTTAATGATATATACGACTCTAAATATCTTATTCATCCTTATTAAATTTATAAATAACAAATTTATTTAGAATATGTTACTAGAAGCTTTAAAATTTTTGTTATTGCTCAATAATTTTTTTATATCTACTAACTGTTCACTAATTAGTACATTTACATGTTGAAAAATGTTAAATTAGCTTGATTATTCGCATTGAAGTGTTTGTTTAAGATTATTTGTACGTATCTTATCTTTGAATTTATTACATATCTTATCTTTGAAATCATGGTTATGATAAAAAATTATATAACTACGCATATATTTTTCATAAAATAAAAACAATTGTTAAATATTATAAAATTTTTATAAAGCATCTCACTTTTCCCACAATGTCTCGCACAGGCCAGTTCATTTTGATTAATGTATGATACGCCATCCGTTCCACAAACAGGATTGCAATCGTTTCTATTCATCTATGACAAGAATGATATTGAGAGAGAGAGAGAGAGAGAGAGAGAGAGAGAGAGAGAGAGAGAGAGAGAGAGATATTCAATATTCAGATTATTTTTAAAATCTATTTAACAAAATTTTCTCTTGAATTAAAAATTGTTTCGAATAAAGTTACGGCAATTTTAGTAAGAAAAGAATTATAATTACAGGACAGTTTAACATGCATGGGGTATTTCTACTGTCAGGTATAGTACAATCAGCGGATGAAGTATTTTCTTGTTTTCCATTGGATTTTAAAGCCACTGGCTCTACTTGAGCCATCTCCACAGGTGTGTTATCCAAATTCTGTGATATATACACATATATTTATCAAATTACATTTCAAATATTAGATCCTCGACATTTTTTTAGAAAATATAGAAATATTATTTTCAATAAAATTACAGTAAAATACAGATAAATTTACGATATTGATTTCAGAATATTAAACTATAAACAAGTATGAGAGTGCGATTATCTCTTGTTTTAATCTCTCTATTCACAAAGCGTGTAAAATAAAAATATTATCGTTATATACGCAAATATCTAAAATCATTTAAATATTCTTTCTTATAACAGAGCATATTAAAGAATGTTTACTTACTTGTGGAAACGCGGTAATGACAAACGATGATGTAGCAACTGTAAGAATTATTCAATACAATTAAGATATTAATGCTAATTGATATAAAAATAACACTTCGCATCAAATACAAAATATTTAAAATAGTTTTCTTACTCAATAATAAATAAAACAACATTTTGTTAAAATTAGTTTGTTGAAAGATCAACAATATATATATTATGTCCAAGATGTCTAAAATGATATTCTGAATATAAGTTCGATGATGTACTATTTCGAAACATTAGTTGCGCTTGCTTTTATATAGAACCGCCAACCAATGATTCTGTCTACAATGTGGCGTAAGAAGGGATTGGCGAATAACGCGTTACTTGTAACGTCGTTATTATTATAAGTTAATTTTTCGATAACGATTGGATAACAACGTTACGTTTTTAGAGTAATAGTAACGATTTTATTAGTATTATCGTAACTTTATTTCTATTTACATAAAAGTTTTAATTGTAACTAAAACTATATACAGGATGTCTGGAAATAATCGCCAAATATTTCATGGGCAGATAGAGAGGACTAAACTGAGTCGAAAAGTTTCTACCATTTTGCAATTTTCACAATAGTGTATTAATAAAATATTAATTACTAAAAATTGCCAAATATTCTTGAATAATTTTTTACTCAAATAATATTAACTTTACAAAAAAACTGCAAGAGACAAAAATCATTTATTTTCTTCTCATAAAGTTCTGAGAATTTTTTCAGAATTTTTTCAGAATTTTTTAATTATTTTCTCATATTGGTAAAAAGAAAATGCAGTACTAAAAAGTTGATAAAAAATTTTGAAAAAATTAGAACTTTATGAGAAGAAAATAAATGATTTTTGTCTCTTGCAGTTTTTTTGTAAAGTTAATATTATTTGAGTAAAAAATTATTCAAGACCAATATTTGGCAATTTTTAGTAATTAATAGTTTGTTAACTGTTGCGAAAATTGCAAAATGGTAGAAGACTTTTCGACTCAGTTTAGACCTCTCTACCTGTCCATGAAATATTTGGCGATTATGTCCAGACACCCTGTACATATGTATAGGTATAGGTGCATATGCACATATATATTGTGTGTATGTGTGTGTGTGTGTGTGTGTGGATGTGTGTGTGTAGATTGGTTATTTTAACAACTTTTAAAATTTAATCGTGACACCCCCTAAAGTGGTTCAATATTTCTAAAAAATAACATCGTATTTTTTTCAGATTTTTTGAATAATTTTTTCTCATGCCACTGGAACATGAATAAGCGAAATAACATCTTTTTGGACAAAATTCAACCGATGAATGCTCTAATTCTTAATCAATTTTAACAAGTTTTTTTTTATTTGTTCGAAATTGAATGAACTAAAAGACTATTTTATGTAAATTTTGATTTCGTCCAAAGTAAAAATTGCCGATCCAACGAAGTAAGTAGAAAAAAATCAAAACACAATAACGAATAGTGGAAATCTTTTATTTAAATCATAATCCAAACTTACGTAGAATAGGTTTATAGCTCACTCAATTTCGAACAAATTAAAAAAAAAAACTTTAAAATTATTTAAGAATTAGAACGTCAAACAAATTTTTCCACTCATGAGGAAAAAGCTATATGAGACACTTTGAAATTTAATATTGCTTTAAAATGGTAATTTTTTTAAGTATAGTTTTTTTACAGCTGATAGCTATGAATGTTTCTATAAATAAACTTCATGAAAGTAAAATTTTCAAAGGAAATTGGCATCGTTACAAAGGTTTGTATTGCGATGACATTTGACAACTGTCTGAATAAAAAATATATAAGTAATAATAAATTTATTTATTGCATTGAATATTATAAGATTAAATTTTACAATATGTTTGAATTTTTTATATAATCTCAAAAAGTTTTATAAGTTTGTACAAGTTTGTACAAGTGAAGTTTCTTGTTGAAACAGTTTAAGTAAAGTATTTTATTTACATTTGGATACATTTTTTCGCCGATAACGAATTGATAATGAATTGATTTTTAATTTCGTTGTAAGTTAATCTGTCACAGTAATCAGTTTGATACCTCTTTTCGCGACGTTATTGACAATTCTCAACTTGTTTATTACCCCAAGGAAAATAAAAATCGAAGCGTAAATGCAATAGTTGTAATGGGAGAATAATAGAAGCGTAAACGAAACTTTAACATTTTGATGTTTCAATTTCCACCTCCTAGAAGTTTCATTTGTGCTTCTGTTACTCTTCCATTATATTCGACTTACGCCTGATTTTTATTTTCATTAGGGCAATTGCAAATCGACTTAATAATTTTTCATTCATTATCAGATACATTGATGTTAAGGAATTCATTATCAATATGATATCTAAGTGGAATTCTGATAAAAATTATCAGGTCAGTTTGTAATTAGTAAATAAATTAAGAGTTGTCATTGACGCCGCAGAAAAAAATATTAAATTGATTATTGAAATAAGAAAATAAAAAACAATTTATTATCCAAGTTATCGGCGAATATAAAAAAATATATTCAAATGTAAATAAAAGCACTTTACTTAAACTGCGTCAACAAGAAACTTAACTTGCATAACTTACAGATTTTTTGAAATTATATGAAAAATTCGAAACATTTTATAAAATTTAATCTTATAATCTTATTCGTTCCAATAAATAAATTTATTATTACTTATGTATATATTTATGTATATATATTTTTTATTCAGACAGTTGTCGATTATCATCGTAGCCTTTTAACACTGCTAATTTCCTTTGAAAATTTTATTTTCATGAAGTCTACAGAAACATTGACAACTATCAGCTGTAAACTATATTTAAACAAATTACCATTTAAAAGCGATATTAAATTTCAAGGCTTCGCAATTTCCTTTTACTCATAAGCGAAAAAATTCGACATTCTAATTTTTAACCAATTTTAAAGTTTTTTTTTTAATTTGCTCGAAATTGAGTGAGCTATAAATCCAACGTAAATGTAAACATAATTTGACGTAAATTTTGATTACAGTTCATACAATGCTGTAAACCCAACGTAATTTAACGTAAATTTTGATTACAGTTCATATAAAAAATTGCTGATCCAATATTCATTATCGGATAATTTCAATTTTTCCTGCTCACTTCATTGAATTGGCAATTTTTACTTTGGATCGTAATAAAATTTATGCAAAATGGGCTTTTAAAACATTCAATTTTGAGTAAATTAAAAAAAAAATTTGCGATGACAAATTTTTGATCCGTCGTATTAGATCCGACATTTTGAATTTCGAAAATCTAACTTCAGATTCGGATATTTAATGACCTTACAAACTTTGTCACTAAAATCATCACGCAATTCTTAAAACTTTTTCTTCAAAAACATTTTTGGCACAAAATATTTTCCTTGGTGTCACTATGTAGAAATTAACCCGGTGAAAAAAAAACGTATAGCAATAAAAAAATATATTTTAAAGATATAATTGTTGGCACTTCAAAAAAGATGGCATAAACGAAAGTAAAGAAAAAAATTTACTTGATTGCTAATAAAAAAATCACAAATATGTTAAAAAAACGTTAATCTTAACCTTTAACTTTAACACCTCACTTTTCTCAAAAACTTAACGTAAGAGCAATTTCATTGCAGAATTCGTGTTCAGAGCGCAAAAATACATTAGAAATGATACCTTTATTCAAACAACAGAAATCACATCGGCCAGTAATTGATAACAACAGTAATATTAAAATATAATAAGTAAATATTTAAATAATGGAGTATTAATTCTTAATTTAATGTAATGTAAATGTTATATTTTAATTTAATATATTTATAGTAGAAATATATTTTAATGTATATACAATGCATAAATATAAATATGTATAAATATAAGTAAGTAGTTTTTACATCCAACATTAATACAACTAACACATGAAGTTTGCTAAATAAATCTGTAACCTTTAACACGATTTTATCATTGTATAAACAAAAAAATAATAAAACAAAGAGATAGAATAAAATAACACAATATGTGTCACACAATATTTTATTAACATTTAAAAAATCGCAATTATCTTTACTTCCCAGCAAATCAGAATGGATTAAAATTTTTTTAATACTTTAAATCCATGAAAATGGATTGAATGGATTGAAATGGATTGTATCCGAGCTGATACTAGTTTAATATTCGAAAAAAAAGGATTACAAATTTTATTCCTAAGACATTTATAATAATTATACTCGAAATTAACTACTTCAAATTGATATTAAAAAACGCATCTTAGTGGGATTCGAATCTGGAATCTGGATTATGAATCTTCTACGTCACTTCTTCAATTGGTAAATGTGTTATTCATTCTCTATTTCAATTACAGTTAAACTAATAACGAAATTATATAGATATAATAAAAATATCATCATTCAACAGATATAATAAAGCATAAACAATTTATATTACTATGAGATAACATTGGGTAAGTGTTGAATAATCTAATCTCACTTGACTAATGTCACGCGTCGTGATTAATTTAATATCCGGGCTGTGTTCGACTTAGTTTGCGAGTATTCACATCGATCATTCATTTTACTTTTAATCAAAGATAAATAAATATAGCTCAATTATTTTTACGTTACAATTTTTTTGAACTTAGTTGGATTAAAATGAAAAATTTCCTACTTATAATTTTAAATAATTTAAGTAGCATTTATGTTAATTTAAGATCCATTTTTAAATAAAAATTTTTTTTATTCAATTAGATTGAAAAACTGCATTTCATATTCAGAATATTGAAGCAGAATATTGAGCAGTATTCACGTTGCACAGAAATTGCTGATATTATTTTTGAATTTAATTAAATTAAAAAAACTGTACTTTCTATTCACAATTCTGAATAGTATTCACGATGCACAGAAAATGCTAATATTATTTTTAGATTGAAAGGCATAGAGATATGCTCTATGCAATTCGTATAAATGAATAAAAATACATTCAGGATTGAAAAGGATTTATTTTGACATTCATGAATCCGTAATATTTCTGAATCCATTTTAATCCATTTCAATCCATTCTTGTTTGCTGGTTTATATGTTTCATATTTATTAATCACATGGAAACGATACTATTCGTGTAGTATGGCGAATCTTTGGCAATCAATGATACCTGAGTTGTTGAGACTCGAAAGGGGAATAAGACCACAAGTTTACAGAACATCGACGTATCGGGATGGGTATTTACAAGATCAGTGCCACAACATATGTAAGTGTATAAATGGATCTGCCTTTCTGCAAATTGCAAGATCTAGCTGCATTCAAATTGAATTTAACTTGTATGTGCTAATATAAGTAAAGACTATTGTTCCTATGTAGAACTTCGGTACGTATTATTACCATACTTGAATGTGACATTATCAAGACTGGATGTAAAACAAATATTCATTGTATTTTCTGTGAGCAAGCCGATTCACTTTGTTAATAGAGTGCGATTTTTTTTAGTGCGAAGGGAGATATAACGCAGCTTGGATGATTTTATGCAAAGTCTATCGATCATAGAAATTATTTGGATGAGGCTGCTCTGTCTATTGCATTTCGACAGTACAATCGATCTTAGAATAATCGGCTCATGATTCAAATAATAAGCGGAAAGACGAATTATATAAAATTCACAGAAATTATTATTAGACATAAAGATCCGCGCGATTATCGAAAATATTCACTTATTTTACATTATACACATATTGGTCGCTATTTAGTTATTAAAGTCTTTTAGTCTTGTACATTTTGTACATTTTACTATGGCACAGGCTTGTTTCAGTCAAAATGAATAGCGAGTCAATACGTCAACTAAGACATACTGATTGCTGCGAAACCTTTAGTAAGACGGATGTACATACATAAATCATCAAGGAGACATTGAGATTTACAGCATTAATGGAAAAATTGAGAAAGTTGTGTATTTTTTGGAAGAAAAACATAACAAATTAATAATAAACACAATAAATATAATAATGAACATAATAACAGGACTCCCGAAATTTAATAAATTAATGAAGGATATTACAGTTGCTAAAGGAATAACAATTCAATAGGCCTAACATTGCGACATGAAAATTGCCATAAAATGTAAACATTATAATGTATAAATATTTTTCTTACATTTACCAATATTTTATTAAAATATTTATTATCGTAAATTGTATTGCATAATGTAAATCATTTGTTATCCAGTTCGACTTGTTGAACAGCGTCCATAATAATTTAATTCCACGTCTGTAAATATAAATTATTACGTGTTAAGCATTGTAATGCGTTTGTAATTACACTACTTTATATTATATTATGCAAAGAAGTTTTTATTATTTTACATAATTTATAGGACAAAGATTGTTAAACGTATAAATATATATGCTCGATAAATATCTACTTTTACTATTGCAAAATTTATTAATGCTATAATAAAATAATCGAGAAAAGAATTGTCTTCCTTCTATCTTATTGATATAAAAAGGAAAAACTTCCCTATTTAGATTTAAATAAGAAAGTCTTTCCTTTTTTTCTTAATGTATATACAAAAAAATTTATAAATATAAATATAATATAAATATAATATAATAGTGTACATTAATATATTCAATTATAAATATATTCAATTATACAATATAAATATATTTAATATAATTTCAAGGATGCGAGCACTAAGCAATAATAAATAATAAAAAAAAATTAAAAGAACTGATAAAGCAATCTAAGATAAATATCAGTTAGTGGACATGACCCAATTATTAGACAAAATAACAAAAATTAAACATTAATTAATTATTTTAAATATTAATTTTAATGATATATATACGATTCTCTCTCTTTAAATATATTCATTATTATTAAATTTATAAATAACGAATTTATTTAGAATTATATGTATTATTAGAAGCTTAATATTTAAAATTTTTATTGTTGCGTCTAATAATTGTGTCATGATGTTCACTAACTGTTCACTAACTAGTATATTTACCTTATATATTAAAAAATATTAAATAATTAGCTTGACTGTTTTAACATTAAAGTGAAAATTTGTTTGAAATTATTGTTCTTTGAAATTATTGTCACGTTAATAAAGAAGTTTTAGATTGTAACTACGCATATATCTTTCATGTAGTAAAATAAATACAATCGTTAAATATCAAAATTTTTATGAAGCATCTCACCTCTCCCACAATGTTTCGCGCAGCCTAGTCTTCCTGGATTAATGTAATCAGCCTTGTCCGTACCACAAACAGGATTGTATTCACTCGTCACCTATGATAAGAATATGATATTTTATTATACAGAGAGAGAGAGAGAGAGAGAGAGAGAGAGAGAGATCAATATTATTTTTCAAAAATAGATGTAAAATTTATTTAACAAAATTCTCTCTTAAATTAAAAATTGTTTTAAATAAAGTTACCTTGATTTTAATGAGAAAAGAATTATAATTACCGGACAGTTTATTACGCATGCGTTATATATATTGTTAAGTATAGAAGAGGTAGTTGTTGTGGATGTTGAAGTAATTCCTTGTGTTTCATTGGAAGCCACTGGACCGTCAAAGATGAAACCATCTACTTGAGCCATCTCCACAGGTGCGTTATTCAAATTCTGTGATATACACATACATTTCAAATTACATTTCAAATATTACAAAAGATACTCGACGCTTTTTTAGAAAATACTGAAATATTATTTTCAACAAAATTATACAAGACAACTTTACGGTATTGGTTTCAAAATATTAAAATAAATATTAAAATATAAACAAATATGAGTGTGATCATCTCTCGTTTTAATTTCTTTAGTCATAGAGCGTAAAATAAAGATATTATCGTAAATAAAAAAAATCCTAATTCTTAAGAATTGATTGACTCACAAACGTAATGATGTGTCTGTGTCATCATTTAATTATTGTGCTAACAATTAGTACAAGACATGATTACATTTCTTGACAGCGTATACAAATATCTAAAATCATTTAAATATTCTTTCTTATAACAGAGCATATTAAAGAATGTTTACTTACTTGTGGCAACGCGGTAATGACAAACGATGATGTAGCAACTGTAAGAATTATTCAATATGATTGAGATATTAGTGCTAATTGATGTATAAGAATAATACTTAGCACTATGTTCAAAATATTTAAAATAGTTTTCTTACTCAATAATAAATAAAACAACATTTTGTTAAAATTAGTTTGATAAGAGATCAGCAATCGACGTTGTATGATGTCGAAGATGTCCAAGATGATATCCTGAATATACGATGATGTACTGTTTGGCAGCATTAGTTGCGTTTGCTTTTATATAGAACCGGTTGCCAACCAACGGTTCTGTCTACAATGCATGCAAATATCAGCGAATAGGAATTTCCCAATATAATGATGTGACCTATTCACTGCATAATAATTTTCAAATTTTTTTCGAAATTCAAAAATAGTGAAAATTAATATCTTTATAATATAAAAGATAAAAGTTTTAAAATTAAAAAAAAAATGTAATGCTGTTATTCAAATTTTTTTTCTAACAAAAAGTTGAAACAATAATGTTAGAATATTGAATAAGAATTCATCAGTACATTTAACAAAAAAAAAACCTTTTAAGAATTTGTTGTAGCTTATTTAGATTGTCTCATTTCAACAAGTGAACATTCATTTGTCAGATTTATTCTTATTGCACACACATACACAAGAATAATAGTAATATTTTATCGACATAATTATTATCTTCGCAATCGTGTTATTAGTAACTACAATAGAATTATAGTTATCTCGCAGTATTTTAAAATCATAAAAAATTAAGAGTTGTAGTTTCTATGCTGATATATGTGTGCGTGCATACTGTAATTAATAATTGATAACCGCAGTAATATTAAAATATAATAAGTAAGTGTTCATATAATGGAGTATTAATTAATTCCCTAATTTAATGTAATGTAAATGTTACATTTAAATTTAAAACAATTATAGTAGAAATATACTTTAATGTATATACAATTAATGTATAAACTTAATATAAATATGTATATAAATATTCATAAGCCGTAACTTTTACATAACAGCAATTACAAATTAAAAAATGTATACATTTAAAATGTAATGGAATACATCAAACGTATTACTAATAGATGAAGTTTGCGACATGTTGATGCTGATGACCAGGAATTAATGGTTTGCGATCGTATATCAGAAATTTCCTCTAATAGACGTCGTATATAAGTCTGTAAAATTCCAAACGTGACAGTTTTATCACTTGTTTGTACGAACAAAAAAAAATAATAATAAGGCAAAAAGATAAAATGTTTTACGTTAAAAATTAACATTTATCTTTACCTATATGTCATGTTTATCGATCATATCAAAGTGATGGCGGACCATATGGTATTCAATTACTGCTCAGCTGGCTATATGGTTCACAAGCCCTGATCACTCTTATCTCAAGTTCTTAAAAAATATTGAGCGCTATTAGATAATTTATTCGTCGAAATAAGAAATTATAAATGATTTAATAATCAAATAGAAGTAATGAACAGAAGCTTTATAAAAATTTATGTTAAGAAAGTTTAAGTAAATTTAATGTAATAACGAAAAAAGAAGTAGAACAGTAATATAAGAATAATGTAGTACTTACGCGGATTGCAATTTTTCGCGCAATTAAATCTTCCTATATTCCAGTAGGTTACGTTATTGGTGCCACATACCGGATTGTATTCAGCAGTCGTGACACATGGACAATTATTATTAATAGTATTAGTATTATTATTATTATTATTTATTGTCCTTTGCGTGGTGCTGCTCGGCGTGTTGCTCGGTGTGCTGCTGTTCGCTTCATCATTATTATCAAATATTATGGAGTCATCAACGTTGCCCGACCAGTCTCTTTGTGGGAATGCCAAGGCGACCAACCAAATCAGGGTCAATACTTGCACAACTATCGAGTAAAACGACGTGTCAGACGTGCATATGCACATTTTAACGCAAATTTGCGAACAAATTCAGAAATCTCAAAGAATATCAAATAAGAGCTTAAGAAATATTTCAGTTTTTTTTCTTTAAATATTTGAAGACTTAACAAAATATCAAAAATACGTTATTCAAATTCAAACGTATCAGCTATCCATGAAAAGAGAATAGATTTTTGTTGTCTTATAGATTTGAAAAAAGTAATCAAGAACTATATTTTTTGTTACACTACTCACGTGCAAAAATATATTTCATGATTGTATCCGTGCGATATCCAAATCTAAATCCAAATTCAAGAACGAGTAGAAATTAAACGAAAGCGTCTTAATAATACTCGAAAGAATAACCAAATGACTGTCTTTAGTAAGCTGCTTTTCGATTTATATTAGTTGTCTCTTATCTGATGTTTCCGACTTGTTTCCTTATACAGGAAAAAACCAGTAAGAGACTCAGTAAGAGACAAGCGGTTGGGGATATCCACGTATTTGTTGCGTACATATTTGTTGCATTAACAGTGATTTTACGCATATAATGACCAAGTCGTTTATGGAGCGCCCCGTTTTTATCTCGTACAAATTATAAAAATCAACTAGAATTTTTGTTTATTTCAGATCCTCAGTCAACACTATTATAGCTTATTAACACTATTATAACTTATATATTTAATCACGTAATGCGCACGAAATCATTGCAAATTATTGCAATTTAACTACAGCATAATCTGTCATTAAACTGCATAATTTTGAATAATCTGATTTTTGGTTTTTGGTTTGTCACACGATAAATGATTTCGCTCATTATAATTTTATTTCACAGAAATATTGTAAGAGATAAAATAACAGCGTTTTCGCAAAATAAGTGAAAAATGCATTATCCTCTCTTTATCATTGTATCTATATAACATCCAGACAAGAGCTATTAGTCTTGAAAATTATATATAATACATAATTATGAACAAATCGTTTATCTCTTTTTTACACACGTTCACAGAGATATTGATTTCCTGCTCGTACTTCCTACATCATCCTCACGCACGAGTGAGTTCTTTAAGAATCTAACATACGTCAGCTCTCTCGAGCATGACGTACGTTAGAACCGAGGAAAGTTATGAGATTATCATTTATACAATTTTTCAAAAAATGAAATCAATCTCGATGAACTGTGGGTCAATAAAACAGGTCTGTAATATATGCGAAATGAAATTGATTTTAAGTGCGTTTGAACGCTATTAGTGCTATTTGTGTTATCTTTATCGATCTCATTAGACGTAAAACAAAGATAGTTTGACATAAAAAACTAATAGGCGTCTGAACGCATCCATTGTAGTCCGTTTTTCATATTCGAAAGATTCAAATCGTTTTCTAAAAAAATGTAAAATTGTGTGCAGTGCGTGTGTGAAAAAAAAGATAAATAAATTGCGCATTATGCCTATATAAAGTTTCAAGGTTATTTATAAAACAAAAACTTTGTATTAGTTTAATATAAATATATACATATATACATTTTGTCGAACTGGATTTCGTTTCTGATAAAAAATTATGAGTTGTATATAGGCATCATTCGCATTTCTGTTACGTCATAACAAATAAATATTGATTTAGAGTCATACTTTTAACAGACAAATTAGAAAAATTCCTTGAAAACGGAAAATTGTTCAAAGAATTCATCATTTCTTAAGTTTTATTTTAGACATTTTGAGATTCTGTAAGATTAATGGTCAAAGGATGATACTTCTAGAATTATTTTTGCTTACACGTGTTAAGGTTAAATATTTCTGAAATTCATAAAATCCCAAAATAACATTGCAAAATATTTCAGAATATAAGAGCAATATTTAAATAAACGTTAAATATTTCATTCACGTCATTATCGTTACATTTCTATACATATACATATATTCCGCAAAATTATAATTCTTCAAGAAATTCCAAATCCTGCGATTCCTGAATTAATTTTTAAACAAAATCGTACTGTCAAAAATACATTTCATTTATTTTCACCTTGGAGTCCAATTTTAGTGACTCACTTCGCACAAGCGAATTGCTGCGCTCTTTGTGTATTTTTTCCCATATGATTCTTATTTATTATGTGTAGGAATTTAATTAGCACGCAATTTAATTAGCTTCATTGTGATCAGGTCACATACTAAGATTGGACATAATATACAATTTGCGCTTGCTAATAGAAAGGGATTTTACGCGTTTATGCATAATTTTTATTTATAGCAATGTCAATCAACCGTATATAGAGCTTTACCATGTAAATGCAAATAATACAAGAATTGTAAGCATGAATCAGATCGCAGCTTTATACAAATCATTCCAGCAACGTGCAAGCGTTGCAACAATTTGCTGCGAGTTTCTGTGCTATATTTAGTATTATTATTATTATTATTATTATATAAAATATAACATACTTCATATCATAGAAGATATTATCTATAACAGTACAGACTTCCAAGGGATGTCTTAAGGATGTCCAGAGGATGTCTCTATGTTCTATGAATGTCCTAAAGATATTTCCAGGATAAAGTATGTCGTGCGATAAAGTATCTTTCGGATAAAGTATAGCATTGGCTGCGTTCAGCAGAACATTTATTTTGTATCTGTTGGAAGTTTTCTTCGCGCTGATTGGATTATGCATTTCGATCAAGAGGAATGATCCAATCTCAGCAGAGAATCATAAAACTGTTGTGTTCTGCTGAACGCAACCATTGACCATGTTTGGAGATAACAAAAAACGATACATGGAAATCAAGTCTGAGAGACTCATGTGGACTCATATGGACGAGCCGATCGGTGCCAATATGGCGCTGCCCGATACGCGCTGATGCGCGCGACCCGCATCCGAACGTATCTAAGTACTGTGGGCGAGACTGTCGCTGTTGACGCTGTTGTCGCTGTTCGATAAGCCGGGCGTGAACGTGAACGCACAGGAAAGCACACAGCCGAGATGTCGAGGAACGACGGCAAGAAGGATACCTCAGCGTCCGCGTTCCGTAAGATCGACGTAGACCAATACAGCGATAACAATTTTAAAGAGGAGGACGCGGACGGTGGCGTAGGTGCGCCCACCGGTCCGGACGAGAACGAGATTTTGACACTTCTTAGCCAATATCCTTTTGCGATACTTTAGCGTTCCGCGGAGTCTTTACTTTTCAGCAATTCCATCGTGAGATTTTTCTTAACACAATTATCAAGGGTAAGAATGCGGAGGCCCTAATATCGGTATTAAAGTCCGCACCGTTGGAGTGTAAGAATCAGCAAGTAAAGGTAACCTCAAACTGCGAGACGGTGATTCACTTTTTGTCGTGAAGCGACTTGTGATTTGCTAAATGGAATGGCAGCAATGTACTTGAAAATTGCATAAATTAATTGTGGAAAACAATCATTATTCTAATGTAAATCGATTTAAATTTTGTGACTAAGAACTTCTTGAGATCCACAATTAAAGGAGCATGTTATATTTTATTAATGAAAATTGCTTCGCAATTTGTCTACTTTTGTTTTTATTTTATGATTTATATATGATTCTCTAAGAAGACCACTTGCAAATTTGAATATAGATGTTAGAGTTCATATACGATTTATATAAAAGTATGTAGTTTCAAGCTTGATAGTTCAGCATGCTCCTGATGGATGTGTTCAGTGGACATAACAATTGAGTAAGCGCTCAGTAATTATTGCCTTGATTGAAGTAGACCTTTTAGATCTATGAATAAATCAAGAATACTCTAATCACAAGCTGAATACACCCAATATCATTTCACAATGTTATATATTTTATTGAATATAAATTTCCATATATATATAAAAGTAAGTACATGAAACATTTTTCTATTTGCAGGACAGTGCACGAAACTTAACACAGAAGGTGCTTCTAAGTATAAAGTCGAATCAAGTGGACGATTGTTTAGCACAATTAGATCGTGACTTAATAGATGTTCTAATGAAGTATATTTATCGAGGTTTTGAAATCCCGACAGAAGGTAGCAGTAGTCACTTGTTACTTTGGCATGAAAAAGTATTTAATATAAGCGGTGTCGGCTGCATTGTCCGTGTATTCTCTGACAGCAAACGGGCTTGAAGAGTTTTGTACATTTTGCAGTAACATGTTCATTATCATAATTACCATTAATTCTTACTGTTATTCATCGTCATTGTTAATGCGATGAGGATGTAGATAGGCAAGCCATTCACAATTTTCCATATGGGAAATACAACAAATTTGTGTACATTTGTTATCAATAAAGTAATTTTTATTTCTTGTACATTTGGAGTAGTAAATTCCTTTCTGTCATACTTCTACCGTTCTGTCCTTGTTTCATTCTAAAGAGTATAAACAGATTGTTGAAAATTATTTAAATGAGGATTCAATTTTCCCAAATGTATTTTTCATCCTGAATTTTAAACTGAACACTATTACAATAAATTTCAATGTTACCTCCAGATTTGTATAGGTTTTACTTAAATTTTATACTCTTTAGAGTTCTGAGATAAAAAGAAACATAATATATATATATGATATATTATTTTTATATAACAACAATAAGATCGTTTCATGTTTTTAAACATTTCTTGTATATACAATATTATTATTGACCATTATAATAAGAATTGACGATTAATATGACATTTGAGTTGGCACAAAATAAAAGTATAAATATATAATTTGTGGAATAATATACCCCAACATCTTTATTACTTTATATATATCTATATATATATATATATATTTATAACAAAAACTGTAGTGCAACCGATTAACGGCAACATAATGATGTTAAATCCTCTATACCGGATATTTAGGTTCTATCATTGTATAATAGAATATGTGAGATTAGGATGTTATGCTAATTGTAATATTAATAGTTTAGCTGACTCTGAACACTGGAAATTCATTGTAAAACTGTTTACTCACATTTATCCTTTACTGTGAGCATAATCATATTTGTTTGATGTATCAGGTACAGTGCACTCACAAATACTGAATTTGCTCTGTAAGAAGTATAAATTTCGTTTGAGATATAAATGTAACATAAATAATACCCTTCATTTGCTACAACGACATGACACAATTAAAAAGAAAACAAAATTTTCTAAAAAATAAATTCCAATGTTCTAAATCATTTTGTAATAATAATTTTGAAATATATAATCTTGGTGTAATAACTGTTTCAAGGAGTAAAAGTATGTTCTTTCTTTTTGTTCTTTATATTTCCATTCTTTTTCTGCAAGCGATTAAAAAAAATGACAATTTTTAATTATGTCATTATTGTAGCGAATAAGTAATGTTTCTAATTTTTCACTGCGTTATTATTTTTGTTTCGATTGGTCATTTTGACACTGTGTACTTACTGTCCCTCCTTGAAGTATTCCTTTAATGTATTACTGAACCTTTTGCTAAACTTTACAAATTCTCTTTTACGTTGATCTAAGGCTTGTTTACCAGCTGAACCAGGTATAAATGCAGTAACTTCATTCACAGCATCTAAAAGTTTTTTTATTGCACTCGCAATTTCTCTGAAAGAAAGTATAATTGATAGAGTTATGGAATTCTATATAAAAATTATAGATATAAATATGTTATACAAACTTGATTGTCTCTAGAAAAGTCTTTCTGTCTGTAATTTCATCGGGAATTCTGCTAAGTATTCTCTTCAAAGAAATCGATTTACGATTCAATTCTTGGAATGCATCTTCTGAGCGTGCTGAACGATACTCCACAGCTATAATCAAAGGCAAAACGCATCTGCTTATTTTCAATCTTATAATAATCAGATGTAAATAGTAGAGTGTTACGATAATATTACAAACACAAAATAATTTATATAAATAAAAGATAAATAAAATATAAATAAAAGACATATTACCATCGTAATCAGAAGCAGTGCCTTGTAACCGTAAGACACTTTCGTTCATATCAAGATTCAGCTCTGCTCTGCGTATTATACCCATAATTAAATCGTATGTAATCCCAGGATGCGAACTCTCGGCTTTTGAGAGAGCTGCACGCAGAGTCTGTGCCGCCATAACATTTTGCCTTTCCAGCTGTAAAAATTTAACATATTACTATTTGATAGACATTCTTAACAAGAGGTTCTGTATCTAATAGTATAAAATCTCAAAGATACAATACAAAATAGAATTCACAAGATACAATTGCACACAATTTTTTTTCTCAAGTTCGCTCATTCTTTTACCATTAAAAGATAATTATTCTGTAAGACGTTGAACAAGACGAAGATTGAAATATTATTCATAGAAAAGACACAAACATGTCTCCCGGGAGAAAACACACAGGTGATACAATCTTAATAAGAACTTTTATCAAACTTTATCAAAAGGTGCAAAGCCCAATGCAAGATACAATTGCGCACAATTTTTTTCAAGTCCATTCATTCTTCCACATTTAAAAGATAACTATTCATTGTCAATACAAGACGTTAAACGTAGATGGAAATACATGATTGGATACATTATGGGAAAGACATGATTGTCTTAGAAGAGATATTCAGCCGATACCTTGGTTAATATTGGCCTTAATATGACGGGAAGAATCAGTGATGTAACCGGGGTCTCATCGCCCATTGTCATCCTTCACCGCGTATGTTGTTGTTCAAGACACTGAGAATGAAAACAATTTGGTCGTGGATTTGAGACGAGGCGCAAAGTTGAAGCTGTTTTACAAGATACGGTCACGACGAAAGAATTGTTTACACGCAACTGGCACGATCACGACTCTAACTAGCGTCTAACTTTTCCTCTATGACAGCTGTCACAATAGACGCTAGACACACGGAAATGAGGTTATCCGGCGCTGCCAACATTATCAGAACGACTCGAAAGTTGTCGCGGCCTCGCGTCGTCATTGGTTACCACAGCAAATAGACTTGCTCATTAATGCAACTTTTTATGCTTTTCATTTTTCCTCTTTCTCTTAATTCCTAATAATGATGTAACTGTTTCGTTTTAACTTGCTACATGTAGATTAATCGACGATTAATTCAACCGTGTCTGAATTGCTCGAAGCAAAATTTCTAATTACATAATTTCTATTACCTATATCAAAGAGAAACCTTATCTCGACATTTTACATATAGGATTGTCGAAATTGTCCGATAAGCTAGAAATTAAATTCTTTTTTAAATTAAAGAAAATTAGAAAGAGAGAGAGAGAGAGAGAGAATAATTAATAGCTATTGAAAAGACTATATAAAGAAAAAGATCGAACTTATAAATACGCTAGTATTATAGTATTCTTGAAAAAAATACATAAAGTTATAAATTAATAATAAAAAATTAAATGCTTATGTTAATCGAAATTTACAATCAAAATCGTCATTTATAACAGATAACAATCGAAAAAAATCGAAAAAAAAAATTGCTTACAAATTTTTATCTCAATTGAAATTTTAGAAAAGGTATATAAATTAAAAATTGTGGATCATTTAAACATATTGTGCAAGTATAGAAATATACTTATTATTTAAAGTTCTATAATAAAAGTTCTTCAAATTGAAATATTAATAGCAATGCAACTTCAATATAAATTCTATTTATTGTTAAATACTAAATGCATTATGATAATAAACATTACGCTTATTTATGCATAAATAAAATAGAAAACGGCATTAGATTTTTGTACGTACATCGAAAAATAAATTCAACGAAATTATAATATTGTTTTGTAACATGAATTATATGTTAATGGAATTCTCAAAACTAGAATATACGCTACATCGTAAAGCGCGTTTCGAATACAAGCATCTTCCGAGAACCACACGCGCCTAGTTTTCGAAAATAAGTAAAGTCTTCGCTGCGTAATGCTCATTTATATACTATATCCCGAAAGCTAGCGTTCTCCAATGAGCGCTCGAATTCAACGCCCGCAGCGAGGCACCACGTTGATTGGCTGGCGCGCGAGTGGTGGGGTTTGACGCTCGCCAAGTCTATATAAATCGCGCATAAATCGCGTGCCCGGGCTATTGCGAATATATGTCATTCTCATCGGTTCGGAGCTGCTTCGACCACCTGCGATGCGTCGTGTCGCATTGAACGGAGGACTATAACCATAATCCTGACTTCACATAGCATCATGATTCTTCCTTCAAAACCGAATAGTCTAATTCCTTCAGAAGAAACGAACTTCGAATTTAGATAAATCATGAGAAAAACAGCTCGGAAGGATCGTTGGAATTTACCAACGAGGTATCCAATAATTATTATCTATATTACTAAATTATATTAATACTTTTACACGCGACATTGAATATGCGAGAAATATTTCAAGAATCGATCACTTCTAATTATCTAATTATCTGTCAAGCATTACGGTTGACGACAAGGTTTACAATGCACATACAATAGATCGCCTTTTATTATAACCGTTATGTTTCATAATTCGCGTCACATGCCGTGATGTTTGTTTGGATGTATTTTATTTTTGTAATTTTGCGCACACGGCTTCGAAAAAGTTTATACGATGAAGTTTGCATCGGCCGTTTCGAATTTTTAGATCGGAGACGACGAGGAGGACATGACATGTCGCGCTGTCTCGGCCAACTTCATGTCAATTGCACGCGTAACCGTCGCACCGCCGTGCAGTGTAATAAGTGTAATTGGAGTTGAGAACGTGTAACGGCTATTGACGCGTCGTGCAAGTTTTGTCGCGTGTTGAGTTCACATTGCGGGAATCTCAAATGAATATCATCTGCATGGTTATTGAGCTTTTTGGAGACTGAAATCCTTGGGCTAAAAAAGAGTGCGGAATTCGGAAAGCAAGATGTCGCGAGATCGAGGAAAGTCGAAAGTTTTCGTGGAAATCGCGATGTACTTGTTCCATGCGGAAGATCGCGTTTTACCGCCTACCGGCCGTGTGTTTCAGGACATTCGCGTCGTGATGATTCAGAAAGAGAGAAGAGAGACAGGACGTAGAATCCACGAGATCCGGCAGCCTTTATCGAATACTAATTAAGCAGCACGACTGAAAGTCGGAAATCCTGTTTGCAACGACGAACGAGAGAAGGTAGATGCTAAATATTAATGACCAATATTCTTCATTCCTATGAGAAAATTTTGTTGTAAATAAAATGCAGCAATACAGCTGAAAATAAATTTTGTAATATTCAGAAATACAATTTTAGAGCTAAATGAAATTATTTTGGAATAGGATATAATAATCTTGGGGATGTAGTTGTCAATTTTTATTCTTAAATATAATCGCAGATAGATATTGTGGTAAAAAATCTTCTGGTTAGAGAATAACAGTCAAAGTTTTTGCAAAATTAATTAATTAATTAATTAGAATTACACAAGAAATTATTATCAATATTATTGAACATTTTTTTCTTTAATTTTCAATAATATTGCCTTATTAAATTTTTAATAATTTTCAATTATTCTTTAAATATATTCTTAGATATCAGTAAAGAATCTAATTAGAAAATTATATAATGAAGGCTTTTGCAAAATTAATTAATTAATTATTGTCAATATCATTGAAAAAGAATCGTTTTTCCTGCATAGTGATCAACATAAGTAACGCAATTGTTTTTTACGTGAGGAAAGAAATTTTATTGGTAACGTAGGAACGTCCAAATATATAAACAGCGTGTATAAAAGTATAAAAAATAAATATTAACAGCGCACACGCGCGCCGTTATTTCGTGAGTCTTATGAATAACGAGTCGGGGTCGCGATGTACTCTTGACCACGCAATTGAGAATACGTCGCGAGTACAGTCAAGAGTACGGTAGTATATAGCTACGATAGTAAGAGTAATAATAATTTTAACAGTAGCAACAGGGAAAATAGGCGAATCTTCACTTTGAAAAAGATAACACGCTGCTGAGAACGAGATTGCTTTTACGGTCCTATTTGTATTATCTATTTAGCTGTTCTTATATGAATCACAGTATTTCTTTACAACCTTCTGATATTAAAAATGTGAACTGTGAGAAAGACGATTCCCGAGGATCTATCGCAGATCGCAAATCGAGATTATATATTATTTATATATTATATATTATATTACGAAATATTACTTCGATTTTTGGGATAGTACGCAGTACACTCTCTTCAAAGTGGTCAGTACTTCAATCGCAATAATTTAATCGCAATAACAGTCGTGATAATTGTGACTGTTATACAGCTAATTTTAATTAACTTTGCATTAAAGTTATACACTAATTCGCTATTAATTAATTAAAGCATTTCTAACACACATACCTCTCTCACACATACCTATGAATACTTATATCTAGTAATTGCATCCCGCAAAAGTTTTCTATGTTCGAAAGATTAAACTCGAAGATCTATAATAGATATACGAGGGTAGATTAAATATAAACGAAATTTTTTTTTCTTATTTATTGAACGAGAATAAAAATATAAAGAAAATAAATTATTTTTCCACATAGTTTCCTGCTACATTAATATATTTTTGCCAATGAATATTGACAGTTATTGACGATCCCGTTTTCATAAAAAGTAATAGGTTGTGTCTGCAGCTAATTGCACGAATTTATCTACACTTATTGCATCGTCTACGAATCGTATTGTCCTCCCAATTCTTCTATCAGTAGTCCAAACAAATGATAATCGTATAGAAAGATTTGTCTCAATGCAATTATCATTCGAGGATGTCAGTATAGAGGAATTTGTGCGCAATTAGCTGCGGATACAACCTACTACTTTTTATGAAAAGGATCGCCAAACTGCCTATCCGCTGGCAAAAATGTATTAATGGAGCAGGGAATTATGTACAAAAATAATTTGTTTCCTTTATATTTTTATTCTTGTTCAATAAATAATAAAAAAAATTCTCGTTTATATTTGATCTATCTTCGTATTACATATTTTAGAATTTACTTTTTATACCGTTTATTTCTTTACAACCTTCTGATATTAAAAATGTGAACTGTGAGAAAGACGATTCCCGAGGATGAATGAAGCCTCATTCTGTTTCCAAAGTATGATATAAACAGTTTAATCTTTATTACATTATTGCAATTTTGTAAATGCAAAATTCTACAATAATCCTTCTCTTGAATTGATCCTGAGAAAAAAAATCTATCTTTCCCCTTTTTTTCCTCCTTATTATAAGCATAATGAAATTATCTTCTACAACTAACTCCGGCATCGGATCGAGATTTCATTATATGCTTAATCGCATTTATCTTGATATTAGCGTAAACGATACGATCAATTTGACTTGAATTCAAATTCCCTTCTAGTCCAGAGGATTATATGATACATTCGATCGGGTTTCGTTTCGCCGTTATAACGGAATCACGCCGATATTCGTCGATATTCGCCGACGTATCGTGTGTTTACGGATTTCAATTTTGCGCCAGAAGTGTATTCTCTGACGATGAGGAGCCGCGCGAAAGCTCAGTCGTGAATGCAATATTAATTAATGTGTAATTGATATCTCACGATTCGCTGCTCAGGGGAGAATCTACGATGTCTGTCTTCCTTCATCCTTATCGTTTAATTGCATTCGCGTATAGTTGCTCCACGGCAAACATTTGCTTGTTTTATTATCTTAAATTATTTTTCTCGGCCTCGCTCGCGGGAAAACGCTTCTCATGGCAGTCGATTTGTAATCTACTCTAATCGTCCTTAATTGACGGAGTCGATAGGCGATCGGGGCCAATCGCATACAACGATATCACGTGTAAAGTTCTCTTAATTCGTATATAATGCTATTTCGCCAACGACAGACGACGATATCATTGATTGTGACGAGAAGTAAAGTGAAAATTTTTCAAAGTTGGTGTTTATGTATGTGTATATGTATGTGTATATACGTGTATATGTGTATATAAGTAGATTCATTAACATTTATTTTTAAATCGCAGTAGCATATAAAGAATACAATAAAAAAGAATGATAACATTAAATTTACATTTAAACTAAATCGCGATTATTTCGTCTCGGAATGGCAGTGATTGACTGAATCATTTTTATTCCAATTATATATAATATATTGAAATGTGTTCTGTCTATCAAACTATACATTCTTTAACATCACACATGCAAAAGAAATAACGTTCTCACGAATTTTTCGCGTGATTCGATTCGCTATTTTCCGCAGGCCGGATTACATTAATTATTGCTCTACAATTAAACAGTATATTTTGAAGTTTATATTGTTTGTCAGCTCAAGGAATTTACGAATGTATCTTTTCTTGTAAGAACTGTTCAATTTTTTTTCTAATTTTTTTTCAATTTTTTTATCAACTTTTTGTCTTGGAGAATATTCGAGTTTTTTTTCCTTTGACCATATAGCTAATATATTATCTAAATATCATTTCGATATATTATATGAAAAGGGGGATTTTGTTGAAGTCTGACAAAAAATTTAACTAGACAAATCTGAAAATTTTATTGGACGATCAAAATAATTATGTAGAACTCTCAAATTAATTGTTGGGGTTAAAAAATTTTTTGCAATATCATTTATTGTATTTGAGATTTCTACGTAATTTATATTTTGATGACAATACACCAAATTATTTTCAGCTCTAGAGAAATTTTTAGATTTTCAGCAAAATCATCCTTTCTTGTACCGTTGCAATAAATTTCTTCACACATATTGACTTAGATCTTTTTAGTATCGTTAATTATTGTTTTTCTTTCTCTTGTTGTTTCCAGGAAGATATTGATATTAATTTCTGCAACTTGGTGATCTCATGTAAAAGCGTGAAAAATTGATTTAATTTTCCGGAATAATATAAAATTAAATTCTATCTACATCGAAACTTTGATCGACGTCACTTCTCTATTATCATGATCTTTCTTGAGATCAATGTACAATGATGATTTTTTCGTACAATTTCGTCTCAGAATTCGGTCTCAGTATCCTTCATCTTTTAAAGGAAACACAAAAAACGACTCGTTTTTTTTTCGGAATGACGTCAATGTCTTGACATTTCTGTCAATGGCATCAAGTGAGTTAATTCCTCAGCTATAACAAGAAAGACACACGTATAATCATTCCTGTCACTATATTTGTACAATTGCAACGACGACGTCCAGAACAGCTGCGCTTCTTTCTCGGCCAGTCTTCTTCAACGTCGAACTTGTTGGCGACTTTAATGAAGGGATCGCGAGATCGCTTTTCCGCGATCGACTGTTGACCGTCAACAGTGTTGAATCGGGCATCCTTGTCAAAAGGATGAGCCTTTCTAAGGTTTCCTACGCTGGCGCCTGCGCCATCGGCCTGTGGATCGGCACTGAAATCACATAGATGTCCAGCTTCTCGCCGGACGTCTTGTCGACGATCTCATTGTAGTTGACGGAATCGTAAGAAGGTGGGGCAAACAGATGATAAGGCGGCGGCGGGGTCTCTGTAACTCCGGTTGTATTTAACGTCTCAGCACGTTGTGCATAGGGCACTGTCAGAGGTCGACCGCCTCGTCGGCAGCACCACTCGGAACAGCTGACGATGAGAAAAAACGCCACCAAGCCGCCAAATGAGCCGATGTACCATACTATCGACCATGGATCCAGTGGGTTCTGCATGTCGCCGTTGACTACAACAAAATGTGGACCTGTGAGCGAGGAGCTCGTTAATAATCAGAAATGTCTTGATTTCGCAAACTACGCTCATGCGAAGGAATCACGGGGATACAATTAGAGTGGCATTCATGTAAAGCGGCTCCAGATGACATGGCCAATGTATGCTACTTTAATTTTAACTTTTACGTACATTCGCAAATATTAGCATATATTCGTATAGATAATTATGTATGCGTGTGTATGTGTATAATATTTGCTAATATATACATTGACCATGTTGTCTGAAGCTGGCACTTAATGAGTATCATAAAATAGTATATTCATGCAAGAATTAAAAGAAAAAAATTAAGAAAGAACTCTTCTCTTTACGTAGTACGAATTATTTCAAATATTTTAAAATTTAAGTAATATTGAAAAATTCTTTTCTCTTAGAGAAGATCGGACATTCTACAATGGAATTACGAGAAGGTATTTTTGACATATTGTTCGCGTTAAAATAGGGAGAAATATATTTGAGTTACAAAAGAGTGACAAAAGATGTGAGTTACAAAAGAGTTTTTATTTGCGATCCACGTTACTCTTTGTTGTCT